AACGCGAGACCGAGTCCCACGTACAGCAACTAGAAGGATGTGAACCTATGACATACAACTATCTACTGGGGCTTTGGGGGGAAAAAAATGAATAAATAAAAATCTTTAAAAAAAGAAGTAATTCTCATCATTATGCAGTCTCACAAAAAGATAATGCAGAAAACAGAAGATGAGATTAATTTGAGTAAATTAAGAAGTATTAAAAATTAGAAATTGATTATTTGATAATCTTTTGCTAAAAAAAAAAAAAGACTTTCTTAGAAGTCAAGAGTGTTGGTGTTATCTCTTCTAAGAAAAATTTTATTTTATTTCCTTGTAAAGCCTGGGTGGATTAATTAGTTAGAACTCTTTTTAGCTAATGTTAGATGTAAAAGGTGATTGTAATACAAAATTTTCTGAATAGGAGGTCTAAGGGTGATTTGTATCTCAGGACCTAATTTCTCTTATTTGTATAATTGCCTTCTACACAAAAATATGTCTTTCTTTGATTGTTTTACTAGTTAAACTTAAACTCAAGGTGTAATAATGTGAAAGCACTTTTAGTATCTAACTCTTACCTTAGTCATCATAGGTGCTGAACCACCAGTGAGTCAGTAGATGCAATTTAACCATATTTGTTACCAACCTGGGCCCCAGTCCACTGAATGGAAAGCTACTTTTTCTGCCAACTTAGGTTCTGTTTCATCCAAGTTTGTAAGAATATTTAGTAAATTGTAATAATGTGCTATATGAATTCCTAGTCTGAAAGAATTAAACATGTCAAATCCTAAGTGAACCTCTGATAGCATTTGGTCTAATAACTGAAGATCATGGGCCTACGGCAGTCTATTTTTTCCCTAGAGACCGGTTTATTTTTGGCCCAGTTCTTGGAGATCTGTCAGGCTATTGGATTGTATGTTGTGTTATATACTGTATGGGCCTCCAGTAATCTCTAATATGGAGGACCTCAAATAATCTGACATACATTTAAATCTGATTTTCAGGGTCCCTGTGGCTTTGTGAATGATCAAGTGCTTCAGGCTTGTTCTGAAGTGAATCTCGTAGATTCATTCTGTAAAAGAAAAACTCCCCAGCTCTGCTTGTCTCTGAATCATTTAGGATTTAGATAGGACACAGTTCTTTCTTTTTTTAAATTTTGAAATGTGACAATCATATGGAAAACTGACTAAAAACATAAATGAATTAGTTTCATGAATTATTTATGGATAACTTCTTGTGTGGCCTTTCTCTTCTATAACAGTCGTGTTGTTACTTTATAGTATCCTTCTTTACTATTAAAAACGTGACACTTTTATTTATAAAAAAAAATAGTAGCATATTCTATTTTGATGTCTTCCTTTAAACTCTCTATAAGCTAAAATATGGTTTATTTAGTATTTTCATGATATTTTGGTAAACTAAGTTAAAAGATAAAGGAAATTTGTCTCTAAATTTCTAAAATTTAAAATTTTAGCTGAATGCAATGGCCAACAGAGCAGCTGGAAAAGGTTATGAAAATGAAGACAACTATTCTAATATTAGATTTCAGTTTGTTGGAATTGAGAATATTCATGTCATGCGGTCCAGCCTTCAGAAATTATTGGAAGGTATGCATATTGCTTATCTTCTAGGCAGCTTTGTCCAATAGAAATATAATGCTAGTCATGTTATAAAATTTAAAGTGGTGTAATTTATAATTTTCTAGTAGTCACATTCAAAAAAGTAAGAAGAAACAGTTGAAATTAATTTTATCAATGTACTTTCTTAATCTAATATATTAAAAATGTTATGTTAACATGTAATCAATATAAAAAATTAATAATGAGATATTTTACTGTTTTTGCCTTTAAGTCTTAGAAATTGACTAGTGTGTATTTTATACTTACAACACATCTCAGTTTGGACTACCCACATTTCAAGCGTTCAACAGCCATATTTGGGTAGTGGCTGCTGTGTTAGACAGTACAATTCTAATGGTTTTACAAAAAATTGCTATTGTTAGATATTCTTGATTAATCAGTACAGTGAAGATTAATTTATGATAATGTTATATTTAAATATTAAAGTAGCTTTCCAGTCATGGTGTGAAATTTTAAATTTTTAAATATCAGACTATTTATAATTAAACATTTGTGCTGCAAATTTTTTTAAAAAGGAGATTGGAGCTTTTTTTTTTTTTAAGCACAAGGAATGACAGAAAAATGTACCAAAAAATCCATTATTGAGCTTCTAATAGCATCTTTTCGTTTATAAAGCGTCTTGTCTATTTATTTTGTCCTCTTCTTCCCCAATTCACTCACCTAGAGATATCTTGAATAGGAGAAGTGGAGACTCTAGTCCCATTCTAATTGAAATGGTTTTTTCCCCTTTTTTAGTCAATGGTACCAAAGGGCTTTCTGTCAATGATTTCTACTCTGGTTTGGAGAGCTCAGGATGGCTTCGCCATATCAAAGCTGTTATGGATGCTGCAATCTTCTTAGCCAAAGTAACTCTTCATTGTTCATATTTGGTTTTGGGGTTTATAATGGTTGGGAAGATTTGGATTTATTCTGTTGGGTGCTGGTATCTTTTCCAGTCAGATAACCTTTATTGTTTTACCCCTTCAATGAGGTTTACTTTAATTTGAGCTGTAAAAATATCATGTAGCACTTAACGTAGAGACTTAAAAGGAAATTCTCAAGCACTTTGAAACAGCATTTTTGTCTTCGTTTTTTGTTTGCTTTGTTGTGTGTTTTGGAAGTTATGCTGTGACATTATCATTGTACTCATAGCTCTTCTTTATAATGCAGTACTTGTTAGTTTGATTTCTGATTTACCTAAAATGTATTCTGCTAGAATCTAAGTATGCAATCTTTCTTTTCAGGCAATAATGATTGAAAATGCAAGTGTGTTGGTACATTGTTCTGATGGTTGGGATAGGACTTCCCAAGTTTGTTCCCTTGGCTCTCTTTTATTGGATTCCTTCTACAGGACAATCAAAGGATTCATGGTAAGGATTTATTTGACTAGACCATTGGTTCTCAGATAGGAGTGATTTTGTCCCCCCAGGAGACGTTTGATAATGTTAGGCGAGAGTTTTGATTGTTACAACTAAAGGAAAGAATGCAAGTGGCATCTAGCTGGTGGAGGCCCAGGAGGCTGCTGCACATCCTGTAATGCGCAGGACAGCCCTTACAGTGAAGAATTATCTGGCCCAAAATGTCAGCAGTGTTGAGAGTGAGAAACCTTGAGTTAGACTGATTTCTGTTTGTGCTATCTCTTTGACAAAAGGTTTTATATTAAAATTTTTTTTCCGGGGCCTGCCTGATGGCTTAGTTGTTAAGTTCGCCCACTCAGGTTTGGCAGCCCGGGGTTCACCAGTTCAGATCCTGGGCACGGATCTACTCACCACTCATCAAGCCATGCTGAGGCAGCATCCCATATAGAGGAGCTACAACTCTGCAGCTATGATACATAGCTATGTACTGGGGCTTTGGGGAGAAAAAAGAAAAAGAGGAAGATTGGCAACAGATGTTAGCATGGGGCCAATGTTCCACAAAAAAAAAAAGACTCAGTTTAAAAAAAAATTTTTTTTTTCTCTGAAATGTTACAGTAGAAATATTTAGTGTTTTCTCCCTCATTTTTATTTAACAAATGTAAGTAATGTGGTAAAAGAAGGCATAAATAAGTACTTAAAAATTGTATTCTAGAGGAAACTTTATGTTTAAAACTCCTTCATTTGTTAATTGTAATTACATGTTAGGAAGTGTGTTTTATATCTGAAGATTAAATTTATAGTTAATAGATTTTCTGCTTTGTGAAGCTAAAGCCCTGGCTCCTGTTTTTTGTTTTGTTTTGTTTTGTTTTGTCATTGATGTTTTAATAGTTTATAACATTGTGAAATTTTGGGTTGTACATTTTTGTTTGTCCATCACCATATATATGTCTCCCTTCACCCCTTGTGCCCACCCCCTACACCCACTGCCCTTGGCAACCATAATACAGTTTTCTCTGTCCATGTGTTGGTTTATATTCCACATATGAGTGAGATC